TATGTTGTTACTTAACAGTTTTGGTGTAAAAAGCCTGCATATATCGGTATTGGGTGATATCGGTATCGGAAATTGAGAGTTGGACAATATCGGAATATCGGATATTGGCAGAAAAAACAATATCGAGCATCCCTAGTTGTAACCCTAAAATACTTCTTAAATCAAGGAGCATATCGTTAGCTAACTACATCATTTTTGAGAGGAGTGCAAGTAACGTTCCAGCTATATATCAGAGTTTAGGGTAACAGCAGTTCTGTTCTGCTCTTTATGTGATTTTGGCTACTTTAGCCAAACTTGTTACTCAATATAGTGTTATAATTGAACATTATACTCTATTACTGAAAGCACTTCTTTGGTTCCTGGTACAATACAGAATCACGTTCAAAATCAAGTCAAGCTTATATTCTATTCTAACTTGCTCACTGATTATAAGCCTGTCAGGCCTCTTAGTTCATCAGGCGAAGGTCTTCTGGCTGTGCCCAGAATTAGATCCAGGTCTGGTGAGGTTGCCTTCAGTTACTGTGGTCCTGCTCTCTAGAACAAGCTGTCTGCAAACTTCATGTCCATCACAGCTGTGTCCACATTAAAGAGCAGGCTAAAAAACCTTCCTGTTCACACAGGCGTATGATTAACTAATTAATGATTAATGTAGTATGTATGTATTGGTGTACAGGGCGGGTTTGATTGTATTGTCTTTTAATGTAAAGCACATTGAATTTACATGCAATTAAATGCGGTTTATAAATAAAATTGCCATTTCCATAAACATATTTATTTTAAAATAAATAAATTCAGTTGACAACAACTCTCAAATGGTACATCTACTGTAGTTTTCATGATAAACTGCATGAGGTGACGTGCAAAAACATTAAGCTTGAAGGGCATTGCAACAGTAACTAAGGGGGGCAGGGCGTAGCGAATAGTAAATCTGTACTTTTTTTGAGAAAAAAATCTGCCATAATAAATGGCACTTACCCGAAAAAAGACGTCTTCTACAAATGTCCTGCAAGATTGAGCTTAAATGAAGCAACAAAGAGCCAGGAATGCATCATTTTGTAGATCTTTAGACTTCAGATCATGTTTTAGTAAATATATTGCAAAATCACAGACCTACCACCAATTCAGGACTGACTAATGCCTCTAAGGTTGATTTATACATTCTCAGACATAAGTTATTAAAGTTTTCAGAGAGAAATTGTACCAGTATTTTCAGATTTTTCTTGTTTTAGTTATGTAGGACTTTTAGCTTTTTTACTTCGCTCCTTCACTATTCTAACTATGTCTATAAGAGTCTGTCTGTCTGTCAGATAAATAAGTTGAGCGGAAATGGTAATCCTACATAGAACCTGTTTCACCTATACTGAATAAATCATGCTTTCCTCGGGCCACTCACAGAACAAGACACAAAAAGATTAGCCACCTCTTTCATTCTTTCAATCTTCTGTCTGACAAAGTCCTGTTTGTTTACAGAGAATAAATAACTTTTATCTATTTTTCTGGTGTTTATTCATGTTTGTTCTTTCAGTTGTACACAAATGTGCTCAATTTGTTACTAATTAAGTTTTCAAGGTCTGATAAGTGTTTGTTTATTTAAAATTGCATTAATCAGTATTTCTTATAATAACATTGCATAAAATGAAAACTTTGAAGACAGACAAAGCTAGAAAGTAGTTGTGGAGTTGACACTGATTGCTTAAAAGCACTGAGTTGATGAAGCATCAAACAGCTAAAGAGCCTTATCTTAGTGAGTTGTGAACAACAAACCAGAGATAAAAGAAAGAATAATAGTATAATTAAATTGAACACAGCTCCAAATTAATGTTAATGTTTCTACTAAAATGTTAGCCATTGCAACTTTAAATTATGTCAGGACTGTTTGTCAGCTTGTTTTCGATTAAGGCAGCTTTAACATTATTTTACCAGTCTCATTGCAATCTGATTGGCCAACACTGACCACCCGCCTCAATAAATGGTCAGAAACAAGCCTGCACCTATTAACAGTGTATATGTTGTATATCTTCCAAGTTAAACGGCAAAATACATTGTCCACATAAAATAACCTGACACTGCTATGGTTAAGATTTGGCTAGGTTCAGGCACAAAACCTACTCACCTAGGGTTGGGGAAAAGATCATAGTTTAGGATAAAATAATTACTTAATTAAGATATAAATAATAACCACTTGGTTAAACATGGGGAACGACTTCTTCGGTGTAGGAAAAAAGTTGACTTTTACTAATTTTGTTTCTGTTTCTTTTACACTGTAAGTTTACAAGCCAGCAAGGCTACCAAAAACTAGCCTTTACGTCGTCTTTGTTGGTTGCGTAACCCTTTGCCCTGCAGGTCGTAGCAGCCTTTCAAGAGTCAGACATTGCTGACACATTTATCAAGCCTGACCACCCCCTTCTGTGGACTTTGTGACTCTATATTAACGTCCCATTTCATCCTCCTTTGTTCTCAAAGGACAACAGTCATAACTCCTATAGCGACTGGGGGTCTTTGTCACTTGAACATAAACATATCTGAATATTGGGCCTTTGCCTGCAGCAGGTCGGCTATTGTTTTCCTCTCCACGTACATATAGATCACGGTTCCTCTCCTACGACTCTGTGCCACTGTTCAACATGTTCTAGACAAGATCCTGCAGAGGTTAAATATGAATATAAAGATATTTTATACTGACTTATTCCATTTTTCTATGGTCATGAATAATGCTGAATTCTTCTGAATATGCTTGACTATGAATTCACCTAAATGTAGTAAAAAAATTAAAATAAAATAACAGGGAGAGAACCCACTAATCCAGAAACCTCTCTGAAATAGATTGATGAATAATGAATGAGCAATATGAAGAGTAATTTTCTCCGTGAGGGAGGTGACAAGGAATAAATTATGCAAAGTCTATAATCTATGATTTTACAGTATATGTTCTCATTAGTCTTCCAGGGACACATGAGCAGGATGGTGATCAGCTATTTTTAGGCATCCTCTGATTTCATTCATGTGTTTGTGTTAGGAAGTCACACTTACCAAGAATTTGAGGGGAGGCCTCATGTTCTTGGATGATCACATGTCTAGCTCCAGGAGGAATGAGAAACATCTTAAGGTAACCTTTGCCAAGTTTGTTGCAGCAGCGGCAGAAGCAGAAGAGGGGGGTTAGGAAAGATAAGACAGAGACAGGTAAGTTAAGCAGATACAAAAATAATGTTTGTTTGCAGTGGTGGACATCACGCATGTTTCAGAAGTTTTGTTCACTTTGCTCTACAAAGAAGTTTGAGGAATAAAAGAAAATGTTAAATGTTTACATCAGCCTTCGTCCTCGCTGTAAGCCTGCAGATAAAACTTTCATTGAAACAGGCTATTCATGCACATCCATTTTTTGTGTCATCAGAGGAAATATCAATATGGTCCCACAAATGAACTACAACTCCACTTCCTTTGTGTTCATATTGATTATGTGTATACAGGATGTGAATGA